TTTTTTTGTGGTCACTCTGTCGCGATGAGATACCATGCGACATTATTTCCCGGGCAACACCTGATATAATAGGTATTTGTCAAAATTAGTTTAGCGCGGAACGTGTGTGAGGAGAGTTGAGAGAAATCTGAAGATAGATCAATCTTTTGAGTGCTTTTCGCGAAGTCTGACAGTTGCCTCAGATTTGCAGGTTTCTCCAAAACTTCTCTCTCCGAAAATATCGCAAATTGTTTGATTTCTGTTATAAAAGACAAAAACCCATGCATTTTAAAGTGGTCAATTTTGAGGTTTACAGTTTTATAGCAAGAATGACCTAAAGAAGTTGAATTAGCCGGGTTTGTAGGCTAAGCGTTGTCGGAGGTTGTCTGGTAAGCACAGTGAAAGAGATTTGTGAGTTGAAGACAAACAGAATGCGGCTCCCAAGAAAGAGTAGAAGCGTTTACGGCAACTCGAAAAACCATCAACGCCAAAAAGTCGGGACTGTCGGATTTTGGCGAAACTTTGCATTTGGACTAATTTGATATGCCGAGGAAAGATATCATAGTCAATTGTTTCTGAAGTAAAAAAATTATTTCATTGATTTTTCGTGATTTAATTTGTAACAAAAGGAGTCTACTATGCGAGGTAAATCTGATTTCCTCAGTGAGCATCTTAAAACCCTTTAGACCAAGTGTCATTCAAATTTGTCACGGTTCGCTTTCTTTTCTCGTGCCTTACCATAATATTCACGATAAAAGAAATTGACGAAAAGGTTGTATTCGTTGCTCATATAATCACCATAATGACGAAATAAGCGCCACATTCGAAAGGACAGAAGGAAAAAAGTTACAATGCCTATGTGCCAACCTAATATGTTGATACACCATTGAATCACAACCAGATTACACCTTTTACCCTACCTTTTCCTTTTCTTTGCTCAAGCGCAATCACAGCTGTTGAGTTATCAGCAGTGTTAATTTTATTAAACTCACCAGCAAGGCCAACTGCCACTATTTTGTCTATCCAAGTGTTCCGAGGATTGAGTCTTGGCAGCAGCTCTGTGTTGTTCCTAGACAGCAAATAAGTTCAAGTATAAAATATGACAGAGTGACACAACTTGAAAGGAAACTTACTGTGCAGTGAAAAACACCCAACAGTTCACCCGAACATCATTTCCCATGTCATTGATTGCTTCAATTGCGCTAAATGAGGTAAAAATTATCGACACCCACCACTTGTAAGTTCTCACGTCGCTGTTGTAAATGGGTCTGTTCTGTTGTGAT